CCACTCACACACCATCCACTCACACACCATCCACTCACACACCATCCACTCACACTCCATCCACTCACACTCCATCAACTCACATCATTCACTCATCCCCCATTCACTCACACAGACACACCTATGGGCAATTTGGTAACTCCAATCAGCCTCAGCACATTTGTGGACTGTGGAGGGAAACCAGACCCAGAGGAAAGCCCACGATGACAGGGAGAGCATGCAAACTCCACACACATGGAACCCAGATGGACTTGCGACCCAGATCCCTAAAGTGTGAGGCAACAATGCACTGCCACCCCATAATAAACTACATATCACCACCTTACCAGAAGGCTCTGCCTCACACGGGCTCTCCCGCTCCTGTGCCGTGGCTTGCTGGTGATGGGCACCGGTCAGGGCGTCATGCAGATGCTGCTCCTGACTCTGGCATGTGTGCTGCAGGTGCAGCGTCCTGCTGGCGTCCTCACTGTGCAGGCGCGCCTGGAACCGGCACACCTTATCTTGCAGGGCCTGTGGGGTCAGAACACAATGGGGCACAATGGGGAAGCGACCTCATGAAAGCCAGGCGAAGTTACAGAGAGAATGTACACTGAGGTGAAGAGAACAGTTCATGGGCAGATGGAACCTTAAGATGCCGTTCTGTAGGATTCAAGGAGACTGGATACATGTGTGCAACTGCTGTGAATTGGCCATTAGATACAGGAACAGGCTCTAAAACATGGAAACAACCTCCAGCTAGCACACCTCAGCACTGTTATAAAATATATAGCAATAAACTATAGGCTAGCGCTTCCCATCCCAGTCCTCAGGGATTGCACACACAGTCCACTTTTTTGCTCCCTCCCATCTCCCAATGCATCTGTACCACGTATTCAGTGTTTTTCATTGGCTAGGAACTGGAAGGGAGCAAAAATCTGGATTGGAGGTCCTTGAGGACTGGGTTGGGAACTATTATATGCCACTGTTTCTCAACTGGCCATTTGTGACCCATGGGACCATTTTCATCAGGTGTGGTTAAAAGATTGTTTTGCTAATATTTTTATAAATTTTTTTGTAATGTCCGATTTTTTCTGTTTTTTTTAACAGTGCATGAAAGCAGAGTGCTACTGTTACTGCACTATGTTCTATTTACTACTACTGCACGATTTTTTGTTAATAAATCTGGCTCAAAATTTGTAAAAAAAAAAAAAAATTGGGCTATGACTTAATGATCAAGCAACAATGTGGGTCCTGAGGCTAAACCAGTAGAGATCCCCAGCTACAGGCGGCCTAAGCCATTAAAATGAGAGTTACATGGGCAGACGTCCAGCAGCAGGACCAAGTGACCTTCTGCACAAAGTATGACTATTAAAAGGAGAAGACAGTGAGAATGGGGAGGGAGAGACATCACTCGAGTCGAGTATGAAATGTGAAATAAAAGACGTGCCTGTCTTTGCTGAAGCAGCACCATCAGGTCTGATTTAACAGGACTATGTTAAGTATGCAATGTAAAAGGGCCCATCTACAAACACTAATCACCATATGACATGCAGACCCCACATGCCATACTTGTATATACGGCCGCATCCCATATCTCTGATCAGTTCATTCACTTCACGCTCTATTCATGACGATCTACACAATTTCTTAGTGTTCTTTAGAATTTGTAGTTGTATCTAATACAGCTGCCATTCATTAACGTCATACACTGGTACAGTAAAAGGCATTCTGCATTACTGTATACATAGTGAACTATATAAAGTTTAGCCAGAACAAATGCTGTTCAAGTGTGACCACAGAACAAAAGATTCTGGGTCTCAAACTTGGTAATGCGATTATGAAAGTAGGCCAAAGACTAGCTTAATACCCTGAGTAGGGTCACACTGCCTAAAAAATGAAGGGGCAATAGAGACAAGAAAGAGAGTGAGAGAGTGTGTGTGTGTGTGAGAGAGAGAGAGACAGACAGACAGATGACTCACTTGTATGAGCAGTTGCTGATCACCTGTCTCACTAGAGCTTGTGAGGTCAGAGGTCACAGAGTGGCATGATGGGAAGGCGGAAGACTGGAAGGGTCTATCCTTACTGCTGCTCATCAGTAAATTCACCGAGCTTGCTGTGGAAATCAGAAAACCAGGCCATCAGCTCTCTCACACACACAGAATAAGCTTCTATTGAACTCCATAACTGACTTCATGGAACTATTTCTGCAATTAGAAAAATTCATGAATGCTTTGGCAAAAACACATATATAGGTATTGAAATGCAGGGGTACAGGAAAAACTTAAAGTCTGGCCTCATTTATCACAAAAACAAATACAAACACGGTGGTGTCTGTGTGTGTGTTTCTTCTGAAGAAGAATTCATTCACATATCATGTGAATGTGAAGCACAGTAGAGAATCAAAAATGAAAGCCTTGATGTTACCAAATGCCAGTCACTCCGACACTAAAGTCAGCAGCATGTTCCAACTCATTCTTATACCCACATAAGGATTTGTATGCAGCATTACTGAAATCATAGGCACTTTCACAAGAGTCCACTGAAATCCAAGGAAACGCAGATAGAATTCATGCATGTTCTTGATTGCTTTAATGAGTAACATATTAAAATGAAAGCTGAGATGGACTGTGTTGGTTTAAGCTCCTCTTATCATGCACCAGCACTGACTGTTACGTGAATAGGGGTCCTTGTTCTGTGAACAAGAGAATTTTATCACTGTGAGAAGTCTTGCAGTGACCCACAACCCCCAAATGTTTGAGCTCCGCAATCATTTGACAAGTTTGTCCGAAATAAAAGCATGTAAACAATTTCTAAATGGTACAGTGAGCAAAAAAAAGCTGTATAGAAGTTCTGGGCAGGGGATAACCTGAGAAAGAGGCTTCTAATGCTGACCGTGGGCTAATCCCTCTACATACATACTCAATGAAAGCATGGCACCTACACAGAGAATGTCTTCCTCAATCACTCAGATTCAGCCAGCGTCAGATAACTGAGAAGTCAGAGATCAAATTTACTGTACCTCCCAGTAAATCATGCCGCTCCCTTCATGTCCAGATCAAAGAGTTCTGTCTGACTCTCTCTCTCTCTCCCTGTCTTTCTCTTCAATCTGAAGGAGGCGCTTTTCTTAATGTTCTGAAAAATGTGGCCACACAGGTTTTTACCCTTGCATGTGACACTCACCATCCAATGAGATTTCTTTCTTCCACAGCTCTGGCAAGCAAGCAGACTGACCAGGGTTCCAGCTTCTTCGTGCGGTGAACATGACCGCTGGGTTAGGGAGTGCGCAAGGCAACTGTGGTGGCTAAATTAAGAAAAAAAAAAACAATGCAATACATATATTCAGTTAGATGATAACATCTGTCCTTCAAGGGCCACCAAATAAAGAACACACTCGTGGTAACCTACCTACACTTAGATTACAGCTCACAATGATAGACAGCAGCTGACACTCATGTTAAGATAATGACCTATAGTATGTCACAGGTTTTTAATGACCTATAAAATGTCACAGGTCTTTCCATGCTTTGAAGGGTGTTCTCCACAAGGGGGTGCTATTTAGAAAAATCATCCAAGACCTTATTTACGGTATGATATAAGACCTTAATATTCCCCCTGCCAAAATTTGGACCAAAATTTACAAAACAGAAAAAAAATAACAAAGGATAACACCATAAAAGAGCAGGTCATTAGGTAACTTCCTGTTTTATCCGTCCATATTTTATTACTGTATAACAAAGTATGGCAGCAGCCCAGATGAAGGACCTAAACTGTCAAACTGATCAAACACCTTGGTCATACCCATAGCTTACAGTTATACATGACGTGAACTAAAATGCACGGATGCAGTTCAGTTTCTGCATCTTGCTCTTGCTAATTTATTCTGAAGTATGCATATCTGCAAATAAATAGGTATGAAATATACAGCGTGCAAACGGATTTGTACATTAAAAATGGGTCCCTTGAGACGTGGTCTGTATAGACCATGGCTGAAACAGCAAATCATATTTATTGGAATATAATGTGATTTTGATGGCAGCACAGTGGGTAGCACTGTTTCACACCTCCAGGACTGGGGGTTTTTCAGGGTATGCAATTTGCATGGTCTCCCTGTGGTGTACAGATATCTTCTAGGTACTCCGGTTTCCTCCAACTAACCAAAGACATACACTCAGGTGAATCTGAGTTCTCTAGAATTGCCTGTAGTGTGAGGTCATGTGTGTACCTCTGATGGACTGCTGTCGATCGCGTCCCACTGTAGTGTGAGGTCATGTGTGTACCTCTGATGGACTGCTGTCGATCGCGTCCCACTGTAGTGTGAGGTCGTGTGTGTACCTCTGATGGACTGCTGTCGATCGCGTCCCACTGTAGTGTGAGGTCGTGTGTGTACCTCTGATGGACTGCTGTCCACCTCACAGCCTGGCATTTGATAAATGCTTGAAACATAGATGGATGATCTGATCTTAAGAGCACATACCTGTATCTAGTGAGCTAAAATAAATTCCCCAACATAATCCATCCCCAACATCAATGAAATGTCAAGTGAAATAATTTACTATAATTAGCCTCTGTTATCATAAAAGTGTTCTCACAGTTGTATGAACATCGTAAACAGTCAGTTGCTTAACGAACTCTGTAATCGATTGGGTTTACAACTTTGCCTCAAGGGTACCACATCTGGCCGCCACGTGGAACTACAAGCAACAATCTTCAGATTACAAGTCTGTTTACGTCTAAGTGCTGTTTGCTGGCCAACAGTTCAACGACAATACTACGTAAATTTTTATGACAAAGCTGGACACAAGCAAGGCTAAGAGGAATTCAGCTGACAAAAGTGAAGTTACTCGGACACTGAACCAGGTCAGTATTTCATTTATTGCATTTATTTATTTAGCAAACACTCTTGTCCAAAGAAATACATAAGTGAGGCAACTGCCATCTTATTTGAAGCCAAAGCCTGTCGTGCTGCGGTACCTTAACACCTGCGTGATCCCTCGTGCCAGTGCGGTCCAGCCAGTGCGTACGCCTCTCCTGCTCACAGTCGGACCAGGTCTTCTGGAGCACGGAGCACACCCAGCCCAGCATCCTGACCTCCTTCCCAGACCCCTCGCCCAAGCCGGGCCCTCAGGACCGCAGGCGTGTGCCTCCTTGCACAGCCCGCCCTGCTTACCGACACGTAGCTCCCGCGGGTGATGACTATCTACCCTCACCCTACTAACTGCACTCAGACTTAGCGCACGTCTGAGGAGCTCTTCTCCCATAATCCTTTAAGCTTTCAAGCAGATGGGTTTTTTGGTTGCTGCAGCATCCATTTAGTATTGCTAAAATATCACACGGCAACATAAATATCAGTATGTTTGTTCAAACACCATATTATGAATGCAAACAATCGTGAGGACAGTATTGTATTTAAAGCATTTAATTAGTTATTAAAAACATAAGTGCTATTCTGCTACCCTTTGTTGGCAGCACACAGACTGTGTACTGACAGAGCAAAAGGGAGACTACAGTACAGACCATACATAACAGCTTCATGACATCAGCACTTCAGTGTTTTTCAAGGTGACATTAGGGGACGCCTTGTGGGACCCGAGGGGGTGTTAAGGGGACAGAGGCACATCCTTGGCATTTAGGGACCAGTTAATTGCTGCATTTGAGTTGAGAGTTTAACTCACCATGTCGACAGCAAACATAACACACTCCCCCCACCTGACCGCACTATGGCTCCACGACCATAGGAGCACCTTCTACCTCTGCAACTTAACAAAGGAATTCCCGGGGGGGGTTACATATTCAGACAAAGACCTGTTAGATGGAGGACCTCCTCCAATCACAAAAAACTCCCACTCAGAAAAAGAGGAGGAACCTGGAGATCCTGAAATAGAATTTCAGGCAGTGAGGGTGACTTACGAAGACAATTAATTACGCACTTATAAATCCACACCATGCTGCATACCAGACTGCCAAATTTCAGCAATGACCTAAGGTATTATACGTTGCATATTAATATTTTTGCACCATACAAATTGGAGGGGGTCTTAGTAGAACCCCCCTAGCTGTACAGTAGTAGAAACTAGATCACATCCTCCCACTCACTGCTCGGCAGCTCACGGAGCGCGTGCATCTCATTAGCCCATTTCCGTTATCTGCCGCCGTGCAGCTCCCCCAAGACGATCCTGCGCAGATTGACGTCCATTCTTAAGGGCACTGCAGCTGCAAGCGCACACCCCGTCCACGCTCCAAGCCCCTTCGCGCTTATACAGTACCTTATTTGGTTGCGGGAAGCTGCTGTGTTTGTCGCGTGGCTCTGCATGCACCCGTCGGCACAGCAGGATGCGGGAGCGCAGGGATAAGGATCGAGGCATAAGGCAGGAGCTGGAGCTGACAGAAAGCGGCTCCGGGAAGCTGCCAGGCTGCGGGCTTTGGGAAGCCAAACGGTAACCGGTAGCGCAGAGATGACGGAGGAGAGTAGCGCGCGATTCTCTTAATGATTTGGAAGTGCTGTGTGACAGAGAATGAACATAAATTTGTCTGGAGTCTGGCATTACGTTCATCTATTCCAAGCTTATACTAACAAAGCACTTTGTTAACTGACAAAAAATGTACACAGGACAGTTCCCAGTAGGCGAAAACTGAGTCACTCCCCCCTTATTTTGTTGTCCTCATTTTATTTTTTTTAAATAACCTGTCTAAATAGAGTAATAATCGTAAGGGAGAGAAATTGTGCTAAAAAAGTTAATCGTATTCGCTAATCTGGAATCAGCAATGCATTTCCTTTTTCCGACGAGTACCGTGTCATTACACGCACACATAACCATGAATAAATTATGCGCGTAAAAAGGGGCTTTTTAACACCGAGTAGATTCCATAAGCTCAGCCATGTTTCACCAGAAGAGTGAGTTCCGCGGACTGCCTCTACATCTTTTGTCTGTGGGATGGCACATCGCCCTGCTTCACCGGTCAGTATCAGTCATCTCCTCTTTTACGGAGGCACGTGCCCACAAAAGGCACCCTCCACACACGCGGCTGTGCGATCGCCACCCGATAGTGTTAAGTGTCTTATTATTTTCCCAAAATCCAGTCTGACGAGTCACCCCAGTTACTCGTTACTCTTGAATGACAGGCGTGCAAGAATAAACAAAGAATTTTTCTTGCGCTCTAGATAACCACAAAAACAAAATCCAAAACTAAATAGGAATCAATAAATCTTAGTATCTCATATCTAGCGATCTTTGAAAGCAATAAATTGTTCACAAATTGCAATGTACGTGTGTAGAGCAACACTAGAGAAATATGTGTGGATGCACTGGCACAGAGAATCAAAGAAAAGGCAAACTGAGGATGCAGTGGGTCATAATGAGCTAAACAGTGCAGGATAATACGATGCAGGATGCAGACGACACCGTCTGGTGCCAGTTACCATGCTGCCTCTGCCTGCCCGTGCCCAACTCACCTCCCTGCCTGCAGCGTGGCTTTCCTGGCCATGCGGTCATCTTCCGGCTGTCCCGCCTGCTCTCGGAAAAGGCGCGCGCGGCCGCTCACATGTGCACGGGACACCGTGCCTCCGCGACGCCCAGCTAGCCCTTCGCCCGCTCCTTCCTGGATGCTCTGCTTCCTTCCTGTTACTCGGTAACGGCAAGCTGACGCCGTAGCCCTCCTTGGGAATAAATACACCTCCCCAATTCTGGCACCCCCTCCCTTCAGACCCCAGAGACCCCCCTAAAGCTCAGAATGAATATTTCATCTGCAAATGAAAGTAAGCTGCTCTTCTCCTCTCTTCTTTCCTTGCCTGAAATTTGTGACAAAGAGAGCAGTGTGAGGAGAATGAGGAGGGCTCCTCTGTCATCCACAAAGCCCCCCCTGTTCGGTGGTTCTGTGGCACAGACCCCTCTATCATACACTCATATACAACATATAATTCACTCGAACACCATTAGCCACATGAACGCTCAGGACTGCTCTGAATTAACACTCCAGCCTTCGACATCAATGCCGTCCGTTAACAGCCAATTAAACTGCACAGTGGCACGCTGATCAGCACCATCCATCAAGGACATAAACCTGCTCTCAGCATTTAGGCTCGTGCCCACGAGACACCAAGCTGCCCACGTCTCTGACTAAACACGTGCAACAAAGAATCCTGACAGGGCAGGTACTGCACAGCATGTTAGGACATTTTGGGTTTTGATGATGGAAGTTGTAAATATATTGTCCTGTGTTCGGAATTATATTAGAAGATGAGGATCAGAGTTATGAACACGACAAATATTATTATGTCCGATCACTCACATACAAAGAGGGGAG